TTGGATTAGAAACAATGTTCTACAATTTCTGTCCCTGTTCATCTTAATATTAGACTTAAAAGATCTAAGTTTACATTTGCATCATCTTGTTTTAAGTGGGCACTTTAATGCACTGTATTAGAGTTTAAAATATTAAATTGATTTAAATTAGATCAAAAAGCAGCAAATACAGAAATACTTTTTGTAATAGGGACACCAAGAAACGAGTGTAATGTCAAATGTTTAGTAGTGTTCCGGAGTTGTTTTGATAGAAAAAGTAGTTTTCTATGGCACATGGGGTTCTTGCAGTGTTATTGGTTGAAAACTACGCATTTGCTATTATTAGTCCCGTGGCTCCTTACATTGTTCTATATATTGCCCACAATCATCATGCATGTCTGGTCCCATATGTATACTTGTTATCACTATGAATATATATATATATATATATATATATATATATATATATATATATATATATATATATATATAAATAAACATACAGGAAAAGTACAATCAGATTTCACTTCGTGCTCCAGATAAGAATGTGCTGGCTTCGGTATGAGGCGTTCTCCCCGTCTTATTCTTCCCTTTATTCTCGCACATTTTCCAGGTTTCTCTGCCTGCGCTCTCGTATCATTGACGTCTGCACAAACACACTCACATTCAGTGCATATATAATTGCGAAGGAGCTCTCCTGTAATGCACTCTCGGGTCTCACTGGGGATCTCCTTGTCAGGGTTTCTAAAGAGATCCTCTGTGCACTCTAAGTACTTTGTTGTTGTCACAGCTCCCGTCTCTTGTGAGACACACAGTATTAGTATATGTGACAAACTTTCTCTTTAAGTTCATTTCCTTCCTACATATCACCCTCACTACTTTGCTGCTACATCGTTTTCTAATTATCTTAATCACGTAAAAACACTGTCAAGGGTTTGTTGGATTGCTGCTGGTTGTAATGATGTCTTGACACCAGCTGATTGATACCACACTGCTGTTTTCAGCCTGGTCTCTCATAGCTCTTAACAGTGTACCGTGTGGTGGTGGCACGCAATGAGTTAAAAGTTCCTGTTAGCACCACTTGAGCAATGTAAATGGGAAGTCAATAAGGATCCTTTGTCGTGGTGGAAACACAGATTACAAGCAGAGTAAATATGAGCAACACTCAGAGCTAGTGACTTAGTGTAAACAGAGAGGAAAGGAGGGGAGGTGGATGGGTCAAACAAACACAAGACTTTCAACCAGGAGACCAGTGTTTGTGTCCCCAAGTGTTGTTGAGTTATGTCAAGTTATGTCAGTGACCTATTGGGAAGTGTTTACGTTTTTCCCTTAGCTTACTTATTTGTTTTAAGGCCAACCGTGATGTTTTTCCAAACCTAACTAAGTGGTTTTGTTGCCTAAAAGTTGAATGGGTTCCATGGTGGCGGCAAGTAATGCTATACATAACGTGAATAGACTGTATATAAGAAGAGAATGTGGTCACCGTGACATCACCTATTGGTTTGTGGGCTATGGTTTTGAAGCCACGAGTTCGGAATTTTGGCCGTCGACCATCTTAGTTTTTGGTCTGTCGCCTTCTTGGTTTTTGGCCGTTGCCATCTTGGTTTTAAGCAACCAGAAGTGACCCCGGGAGGGTGGAGCTAAGTACAACAGAAAGCTGAATCATTTCTAATTTCTGAATAATTGTTTGGCGACCAAAATGTTACAATTAACTGAAAGCACACTGTGAAAGGGTTAAAGTTCAAAGAGGAAAACACGGTCAACTCCCAGACCGGACAACATCGTGGTAGAGACCTGTCAATCACAATCTAGCCCCGCCCTAAAGTATCCCCTGCTTTATTGTCTATTTGACTCTAAATGGACCATAATTTACTAAATGAACATCATGCTGTATTGAAGAAGACTTGAAACTAGAGATTGAGACCATAAACTCATGTTCACAATGTTTACTGAGGTAATAAATCAAGAGAGAAGTAGAGTCATTTTCTCATAGACTTCTATACAATCTGACTTCTTTTGCAACTAAAAGAGTCGCCCCCTGACGGCCATTAGCAAGAATGCAAGTTTAAGGCACTTCTCACTTGCTGCCTGATTATGTGCCAGCTCCACCACTTAACGCACTTCTATGGTCATTTCACGTATTTCTTTGAGATCACATTGGCTGTGTTCTATACACAGCAGATGAGGAAATTCTGTGGTGAAAGATCCAAATTTAGAGTCTTTTTTTTCCAACACAGTGAGCTCATTACAAGTCTCCAAGCGATTTCCAAGAAGAGTAAATGAATCTAAAATGACTACGCGTGTGCAGACTCATTAGCCATGAGTGCTGATTATAAATTCAACTTGATCCTTATATCCCGATCATACATTTTATTTATGACTTACCCATACACAGCCATGTTGGCATGGTAAGGAGCATTTAATGCTGGGGGAGGAAATCATGGGCAAAAAGGCAATAACAGTAAACAGGCTAATTAGATTACACTGTTACAGCGGCAACGCAGCGCTGAGAGGATTACTTTTGATCTTTACAGAAACCACTTCATTCAGCACAGTTTGCAGTCTTTCAGCTCCGTTTAATTACTCTCACAAACGCTGAAGCTGTCGTGACTCATTTTTTACCTGGCGCGGTTTGTATCATGGACAAAGATGAACAGATACTGTAAGTGCAGAGTTAATGGAAAAAAGTGAGGGCTGCCAAGAGCATCTGAAACAGCTTCAATGTTCCGGAAACATTTATTTGTCTTTATAGGCGTATTGAAAAACGACTTTTTCTTTTTTTGTTTGCTTATGTCACATCCCCTTCCAAAATCTGGAAAGCAGCAGAAGGAATTTTCCTTCTGCTAATATGCATTATTCAGGATATACAGATATAACTAACAGACAAGATAGTCTGCTGTGTACAGTAATTAAAGTGAGGAAAGCACAGCCACAAAGCATCTGTCATAAACAAGCTGCGTTATGCTTGTAAAATGAAAACAGTGCCGGCAAAGCAGCTGTAAACTTTACTGGAAATGTGGCTGCTAAAGAACGGACTGCTGCAAGATGCTCAGCGTCACATTCTTTCCTCCAAATTTAGCGCGTATATGTAGCTTTTTTAAACGTGGGAAACCCCACTAAAAATTACTCTGTACCATTGTTTCCTCATGTATGAAAGTTGCATTTTGAACACAGCTGTCGTTTTTTCTGTCTATTATTTGCATGGTTTACCGATGCCATAGAAACGCAAACAGGAATCCTCAAAAAGGGAGTTTCAGTTCCTGGTTTAGTTCCTGAATTTGGTTCCTCTGGTTCCATTGTCCTGGAACTATTTGGTAGAAAAGGGCTGAGAGGTGGTAAATGGTAAATGCACCGCAAGCACAGCCTACTGGAGCAATTGGGGGTTAAGTGTCTTGCCCAAGGACACATCGACAAGCGGAGCCGAGTATTGAACCTTTGATCCTCTGAATGAAGGAAGGCCCACTCAATTCCTGAGCCACAGTCGCCCCAACAGGTGCCACAGAGCTGTGGTGCAACTAGAACATGATGCAGCAGTATAGGGGTGGGTATTGTTTAAAAAATGACAATGCCAGTACCAATACCAGTACCCTTAAAGTGATACCACAACAGTACATCTTTTGATACCTTTTACTCTACTTTCTTCAAACTTTCCCATCATGTGAATGGAAGCATTCAGTTGGTAAAATGTGCTCAACTTCACCCCACACAGACTGTGTGGGGTGAAGTAGTGGGCCAATCATAGACTCTATATGTACTATATGTAAGAAATAGACGTAGTCGTCGTGACATCAACCATTGATTGGTGGACTCCCGTTTTGAAGTCTTGAGTTCGTCAATTTGGCCATCACCATGTTGTTGTTTTTTGCAACCAGTGAACGGAAGTCACCATGTCTGGACTACGGTGTTGTGGGGCCGTGGTAGAGATGCCGTTTTCGGCTAAAAAAGCAACCCGTCAATAAAAAGGTAACCCCGCCCATAGGCATACTCTGCTTTATGGTCTATTTAACTCTAAATGGACCATAATCTACTAAATGAACATCATGCTGTATTGAAGAAGACTTGAAACTAGAGATTGAGACATAAACTCATGTTTACAATGTTTACTGAGGTAATAAATCAAGTCAGAAGTAGAGTCATTTTCTCATAGACTTCTATACAATCTGACTTCTTTTTAAGGGAGTCGCCCCCTGCTGGCCAGTAGAGAGAATACAGGTTTAGGGCACTTCAGCATATTGGCTTCACTTTTTAGAATCGGAGGTTGCTAACACACGTCGCATTAAATTGAACACTTGTGGGGAAAACTACACAAATAGTCTTTTTTTTTTCTAGATCTTGGTACAAAGAAGAACCATGATGTACCATTTGACTAGAGAAGTTTCAATATTTCTTGCTGCTGCAGGATATTTCGGTCGATACCTTAGATTGGTTACTTTATTGCCATGTCAACACAGTTGATATGAATTTGCCTCAGTGCATCTCATAAAAACAGATGACACACATAAGTGAGTAACCGTGAAAACAGTTACTACATTTATACATTCAAACAAAAAAGTATCGCGCACTGATACCCAGCAGCCCCATGCAGCAGCATCCTGTGGACATCCGGAGCAATATGTCACACTAACTAAAGTCATTGTGTGTCATCTGCGGTGGACTACATTCTAAGACCAACAAAACCAGATTGCGAGGATCTGGGATCACAGTCCTCCATTTGAGGTGTTGTCTGTTTGAAGCAATAACTCACGATTACAAGTGCTCATAAAGGGCGTGTAGCCCCACACCGCACACATGCAAGGCTTCTAATGGCATTAATGCTCTCTCTATCGCACACACAAACATAAACACGCCATGAACCTGAGTGGTATCTGGGCTAATCCTTCCGCTTTTAATGCTATAGAGACGCTGGCAAAACTATCGTGATAATGCAGCTTTTACTCTGTGTGAATGAGTGGGAGAGGACGAATGTTTAAAAACAGGGAAGAGGAGGAAGGGAGTGAGGGAGATAGGGAGAGATAACTCACCCGTCTGTATCCTGGAAGTTGACATTCACTTTCTTTGCCGAACCGAGGAGCTCTGAAACACAAAGAAAGTGGAACATTAATTGATTTTTGCAGCATATAAGTGATAGTAATGGACGGTCGGTGCCTTTATGCAATATTACACAGAAATATAGGTGTTATATTTAATGTTCATGTTGAAAGAATCATTGTGCTATAGGTGATGAGTAGTTTTCATTCAACCTTGGAAAAAAAACAACCTCAAAAAACATTTTTCACTTCTTACTCATCCATTTCCTCCAAAAATGAGTTACAGCTGTGTTGGTAATGTAATAAACAACACGGTCTGATAAAAGTATGGCAACAAAGACTGGAACATAAATTTGATTGATGTGCACTCAAATTGATATTCCGCTACTGGAAATATGTGATAATAGTGCGAATGTGACGGCCAGCGTCTCCTGCTCGTCACAGAAGTGTATGGTCATGGTCATGGTACAATACAGATTGTATCCAGATTGATTTTAGAAAGTTTGGACGCAAAAAAAAAAGCTTGAAATGCCATTTGAACAGAATACAAACCACATCAACAGCTACTTGTGCTAAGCTAGGCTAACCCGCTGCTGGCTGTAGCTTCATAATTAACTGTAGTCACATGAGAGTGGTATCAATCTTCTCATCTGACTCTCAGCAAGAAAGCCAATACTTGTGTTTCCCAAAATATTGTCGAGCCCGCTGCTTTAATGTGGAGGTGACTTAACACGGCTCAGGGGGGAAGGATAAGTTTGCACCTGTGGTCAAACACTCTCCTGCACCATATTTTTTCCCTGATAATGCTACATTGTGAACAAGTCCTTGTCAGAGCTAGTTAACGTTAGCCACTAGCTTTTAGCTGTTAGCAGCCGGTGGGCAGCACAGTCCTGCTTGGCTAAATAGCGGAGCTAACAGCTGTAAAGGAGGTTGCATTGAGCTATATTATGATGCATTGAAGCTCTACTTGGGAGAAGGTCAATCATAGCATTACAATCTTGTAAAATGCAGTTTTTGCTGATAAATTTAAATTAATACAGTTCTTTGAAGGAGGCGTTTTCACAGCAATATATAGATATATATTATTGAATCTTTTTTTTTTAATGCAGGGTATCAGATCGGTGCTCATTATCGGTCTAAACACATGTTCAAGTACCGGTATCAGGAAGGAAAAAAAAGGTATCAGAACATTCACAGTGATGACGTCACTGATTCACTCACTGTTCTCATCACAGCTCAGGAGGCCTGGTGACTGGCTCGCTGCCAAAAGCTGAGGGTCGATGACCTCTCTCATGATCCGACGCTGCTCATCAGAAAAAAGACTGATGCCTATTAGCACCTACACGTCATTTTGAAGTAACTTATCTACAGGTAGAGGGAGTCAGAGCACAACCCTCTTTTCACCCACATTATTTTGTTCATTTTCTGCCCCTTGTTTTTATGTCCAATGTCAGCTGACATGCAGCCAAGATGTCTCTCTCTTTCTGCTTTCTCTCTTCCACCCTTTCCACACACACGCACACAGACACACACAGACACACAGACACACACACACACACACTCTCCAGGGTGCAGGAAACAGGACAGTCCCTTCATTGTAGAGGAGAGAGCTCCCACTGGGAGAGGAACATAGATTTTCTAACAAGCTATTTCTGGCCGCTAAATGCAGGGATTCACTAACACACACACACACAAACACTCTCTCTCTCTCTCTCTCTCTCTCTCTCTCTCTCTCTCTCTCTCT